GGGGGGGGGTCTGCAGGAACCAGCTGCTTTTGTCCAGCTGATGAAAGCAGTGCCAAGATGTCCGGCCGGAGCTCCGCCCCTTTTGTACAGGCATGCAATGCACATGCGGAAGGGCTGGGGCTTCTGTCGCAACAGCACAACACTGCTTTAATCATTTTGTCCCCCCGCTTAATCTCCCCACCCCGGATGCCGCTGGAGCCATCACACAAACCTTCAAGCCCCCTGGCTCATTCAGTCTTTGGACAATGGGCTTAACCTGCCCAGTTTTTAATGTCTGCCCTGAATCTGATCCTTTTAGGCAAGCAGCACCCAGTTAAAGGTCCCCTTCGGAAGCAGCAGGTCAGTTAATTTTCTCTGCGGCCAAAATGTTCATCTTGACATTGCATAAGGGGAAGATTTCCACATTCTCTCCATGCAGTCCAGACTAACTGAAACCCTTCTTTGCAAGGGGAAAGGGAGAACAAATGGAGGATTCTCCTCTTTTGTGTGGAGGGGAGAGCAAGGTGGTGGGAAGGCAGACAATCCGGAATTCCTTGGCAAGGCTGCTTGCCAGAAACAGCATGACCCCCTACCAGCTTTTGAAAAAGCCAGGGTGATGGCCTTTAAAATCCAGAGTTGGGAAGTCCCCCATCCTCAGCCAAGGGTGGACCTGAGGAGGTGAGTGCTGAACCGAGGGCATCTCACCCAGCGTAGATGCATAATGGAGGACTGTCAAGTTTATCATGGAACAGTTCCACCGAGAGAGGAGGACAGGAGATACTGTAGGACACGGATCCTCCCCAGCTCTCTTTTTTATCTGATGTCCAGGAGGCCATCAGAGACCTAAATAGGTGCCCAGAAGAAAGATGGGCAGGAGGACGGCCAACAGGTTGAAACAACCCAGAGTAGGCAAAGAGAAGGGATCAGATAAAGCTGGAACAGAGGTTGGTAGCATCCTAAAAGAGGCAGCCCTCTGTTTAATAACCTTTGATGTCCAGCTACTTCAGATCCTCAAATTACTCCTGAGTCATCAGGTGGAGCTGGGCTTTCACCTACTTCCACATGAGAGGGCACATTCTGAGCAACTCTGACCTCAATAGTGCCATGTATGATGTGGTAACCTCCCTTCCCAACTCAGTGCTCTCTCCCAACCTGTGGAACCTCAACTTTTCCAGTCCCCAGCCCTCTAGAAGGCAGCAGAGATATGGATGGTGCTCACCCTGTTAGCGTTTCGTTAAGGCACTAAAAAAAGCCTGTTTCCTCAGCCATTTGGGCCAGGACACCAGTGAGTTCTGCTACAGTCATTGATTGATGTAGTGTTTTTGGTAAATGGGGAATGTTTCTCCTGACCCTGGACCTTGGTTTCTTGGATTACTGCCAATGTACATTTATCATACGTGGTTTACACCTTTCATGTGATGCCCAGAATTGTGGTTGAGGTGAACAGCCACATAAATTGCTTAAATAAATAAATAACAGGTTGCAGAAATCCGAGTTAGGTTATTACAGTTGTTCCACACGGCAGGATTCTCTCTTATTATGAGCTTATTGTGATTTCAGAAGGTTGATACTGATAGCATCTCACCTCCATCAAAAGCCAGGCTAGGGTCACGCAAAGGAGCATCTTTGCATCCTCCAACACTCAATTAGGGAGTCTGGTTGGCTTCTTCGGCCATTTTTCTTTATAGACTGGCATATGTGCTTAATCCTGGAGAACTTCAAGGAGGATGCATTAGTCTTTTTAAAGCCGAAATGTTCTGATCCCAAAAAGGACCATCAAAAATGTCAACCTTGAAATGTTTTGCAAAGCAATACTCATGTTCTAGCTGTACATACATTTTATTATGCTGTGAACTGCTTTGAGGCCTCTTTGGGCAGAAAGAGAGAGAAGCTGTAGAATGAATCAAGAAAATAAATGAATCCAGGAGAACCCTGGGCAAACTGGAAGTTAATCAACCTCAGTTTTTGAAGAGCAGAGAATGAACCTCTGTTTCTTGACTCTTGTGCTATTTAACTTTTCTGTGGTCATTTTTTTAAAAAACGAAAAACCGCCTCACCTTTTAACTACTGTTACCTGACCAGAGCAATACCAGAGTTTGAGAAGTGCAATTAAAAAAAACAGGAATGAGAACACAAGATCTTACAGATGCTTGCAGTTCAGTCTGAGTTACTGGCCAGACACAGCATCTCCCCTTAGAGGAGATGTCCTATTTTTGAAGTTAGAGGGGGTGGCCTTGTTCTCAGTTCATTTGTTTGAAGGAGGAGAGATCCAGCACGGCTGACTTTACAGCAGCAACTGCTCTTATGGAACTGCTCCCCAGGTGGATCTGCCAAGATATCTGTTTGAGGAGTATTAAGCATGCCAGAAGATACTAACGTTTCCCAATTTTAAGTTGATTTTATATTCCTTTATAATCTCTATATAAGCCCTATGGTGTTTTCAGAAGTGGGTTTTGCATAGCTGGTAATTGTGGCTGTCACCTGTATTCACATGGCACCAGATCTGCTTTTACGGAAATACATCTGGTGCAGAAGGGAATTTGGAGATCCCCTCCTGCGCAGCATTTGAGATCAGAGCTGGGCATGATCGGCCATTTAAATTTCTCCACTAAATCTGTGGGTGAGGAACAGGCTGAACAACTGCTCTGAACTTTTCCAGGGGAAGGGAAAATTCCAGCAGAAGAGAATCTCCGTAGCTCAGGGTTGAACTGTGTCATTCCTGGGGCTCTTTTGAGCTTGGTGGTTGGCTTGCAGGCGCTTCATTACCCGAATAGGGAACATCATCAGTGCAAATCCCACACTCCTTTGCACTGACGATGCTACCTAATTGGTTAATGAGATGTCTGCAAGCCAACCACCCAGCTCAGAGAGCACCAAGGACTCCAAAGGAAACATCCTCTAACAATGTTTGAAGGGTGGACATTCTCTTTGCCAGTGGCAAGAAGCAACATCATGGTTTGAAAAACGAGAGGCTACAGAGCATTAGAGAAGTTGTGGGAAGCAGCAGGGAATGCCACATCTGCGATTTCCATTACAAACCTTTCTGCTGCTCTGAAGCCTCCCAGGCTGCTCAACCTTTCCAATCCAGGAAAAAAAACCAGGGAGAGGTCCCTCCCCATCGTTTCCTTTGGGGCTGACCGGAAGTGTGGGAAGCCAGGAGGCTGCAGAGGGCTGGAAATACGACTGTGTAAGACAGACAAAATGTTCGTGCATGCCGCCCAGCCACCTCGTTACTAAATGCTATTTCCATCCCTGAGCACTTCTCCGACATTCCTCCAATCTTTTCTTTTCAAAGAATTTTAAAAACCCTCCTCTTTCATTCGGCGAGCTGAAAACCGAGAAAGAAGAGCATGCAGGTTCTCTCTGCTCGCTGCTGTTTGACAGAGAGACGGCGCAGCCGAACTCACCTGGGCATACAGGTTCTGCTGCGGATAGGCACTTCGAATGGGGTACATAGCTGTTTGGTACGGATTGGGAGACGGAGAATATGGAGGCGGGGCGTTATTACTCTGGGTCGGAGGGACCTTGTAGGGAGTTCCAGTGGGGTAGCCTGTGGAGAAGCGAGAAGACGCGAGAGGACCAAGGTGAGAGGTGAAAGGGTTCCCATCAGCCCCATCTCATTTCCTCCCACCAGAATCAGGTACCTGCTTCCAAATGCCATGTTTTCAGACAGGAGGCAGGCTCCCCCCCAGCCCTGCCATGGGAACAGTCACTGGACTTTCTGCTGCCGCTTTTCACACTTACCCAAAGAGGAAGTCGCTGGTGTCCCTCACTGCATTTCAGGGGAGGCTACATGGCAGCAGATCCTAGCTCAGTGTTTTTCAAACTTGGCAAGTTTAAGCTGGGTGGACTTCAACTCTCAGAATTCCCCAGCCAGCCATGCTGGCTGGGGAATTCTGGGAGTTGAAGTCCACACATCATCTACTGGTCAAGCTTGAGAAGCACTGTCCTAGCTGAATATACCCATAATGCTATTTTTAACAGGAACAAGAAGTCAATGAAGGATTTAGTTTGCAATGCAAACCCAAAGGAAGGGTCGTCCCATTCGGCACTTGGGTGAGGGAACTGGAGGCCTTTGCATGGTTCATGAATTTGCATGAACCCTGAGCCACACCTGGGCTGGCCCAATACTGATCTTCCCAACACTGAAATGCCCACAAGTCAATGGTGGCCAGAGTGTGTCCAACTTGGGTGAGGAAGTGGCAAAAACAAGGAGTTGAAGAAAGGCCACTTGAAATGAACGGCGATAGTTTCTGGAGGCCTTGTTTTCTACTGGGATCCAACTCCAGACTGGTTTCTATGTGAAGCGAACCCAGATCTGTAGCTCCACTTCTCAAAGGCGTTCTGCCCCAACCTGGTGTCCTCCAAACGTTCCAGACCGACCGACTCTCACAATCCACAGCAAGCATGATGTTTGGTTGGGAGGGAGGAGTGTGGAAGTCCAGCACATCTGAAGGGCATCAGGTTTGGAAAGACTGTTAGAAACCCAGATGTCTTTCAGGCACCAGAGTACAATCATCCCCATCCAAGATGGGCTGAGAGCTTCATTTGGCATGCAAAGTACTTACACCATTGCAAGTACGTTCTCGACTTACCTTCTGGAGGATGGTTTCATTAATTCAGACAACTAAAACAAAAGAACTATGGGAGGCCCACCCATTATTCTGGATTAATCTAGAGTGACTCTTACTTGCCTGCCTATCAACATTCAAGGGCAACGAACAGGGGAGCACTTCTGTCCTTCTACAAGCCTTAACTGCAAGGACCGCTGTCCCTGCCTTGCCAATGCTAAACGGATCTGCAGAACTGATCCTGTTTGTTTCAGGCTGGAACTGACTCCATCTCCTGCCAAACAGCTTCAGCTTGGACACATTTCCTCTCCAAACAACATGCATGCTGGCTGGGGAATTCTGGGAGTTGAAGTCCGCATGTCTTAAAGTTGTCAAGGTTGAGAAACACTGATCTAGAACTTAGCTTCTAGAGACCCAGCAGCCCCCAAAAGATTGTATGTGGGTAAAATTGGATGCACTGTTCCCCTCCAAACAGGATCTGAAGGATACACAACTGCCACTTAATTCTGTATTCACAGTTATTATCACAGATTAAGGTTAAGACTCCATTCACTCTTCTTTAAACAATGCTATAAGGACACAAATCATGTTTCATGGTACAGTGGTAAAAGTATTGAGTGAGACTTAATCAATGAACATCGGGGGCCTCTTATCTGGGAGGTGAGGAAGCCCCTCCATAACTCATTTTACTGTACAAATCACAACATTCATCCAAAATCTGAAGCAGACAAAAAACTCAGACGGCCTTCAGGACTAGCTGTTGAATGCAGCCGTCCTCCCCAAGAAGCCGCTTAGCAGCTTTTCTTTTAACTGATCTCAGAGACAGGCCCGATAGTAATTAGCCAGATTTGAGATTCTGAGTAAGAACAAAGGTCTTTGGGATGGACAATTCCTGCTGTGAATCTTTTGGAAGGTTTCAAACCTATTTCAGAAGAGACACATTATGTCAAGCCTCTGTTGCCATATATACCAACAGGCCCATAATTAAAACACGAGGCAAAAGCCACTTAGGACCGCAACATGAATGGCTCCACCAGCAACCTGCACGCCCGTGACCTATTTTTTATTTTATTTATTTGAATTTATAAGCTGCCCAGCTCCAGTGGACACACGGAGATTGTCATAACCCATGCCCCATCCTGGAACTCTGCACTCAGGGGAGGCTCAGGTGGGGCCCGTGGGGGCTAGACCTTCAGCGTTTTTAGGGCAAATACAAGGCCTCCACACATCCTTTCCTGCAGCTGAGATGCAAAGGGGTCTTACGCTGGCAAAGGGGCTCGGGGTAGCCTGAGGCGACATTGCTCTTCGTTCTTGTTCTTTCTCTCTGAGCCCCATCCCATGTTCGGGATAATATTTCAGAAAATCCCTTTGTTTCCCAAGCATGGGACAGGAAAAGGAGGTATGCCTTCATTGCAGAAGCAGTGTTGCCTTTGTTTGGATCTTGGCCCTGATCAGCCTCTTTCTTCTCCTCCTTGTTGCCTTCGAGCCCAAATGTCCTCTCTCCTTCCCCCAACAGAAGATGATCCCAAATGAATCAGGACAGAATGGGGAGGGGAAGGGGAATGGGGGGCAAATGGGGAGAAACGAGTAATCTCTTCCACTGTCCCATTTTTATTAGGGGGGGTAGAATTTGTGCTTGTAGTGTTAGAGGTCCCTGATTTTTTGGGCCAATAGGGCATGGAAAGGTTTGGGGCAAAATGGCTGCTCTGCTGAGTCCAATATAACCAGCTTTTGGTGGCCAACGAGTCTTTCTTTTTCTATCAGGTAGAGCAGTGACAATTAATAACCAAAATAATCCTGGATAAAATCACTAACATGAAATTCCAAAACAGTTTCACCAATTTCACTGCTATGCTGCCTATATAACCCACTATTTTATTTATAATTTCTTTAGTATCAAATTCAAGAGCAGCTTCCATTTCACTTTATCGCTATGACCCACCAGAGATAATATATTTCTATTCCTTGCTTAAATTGCTTTGAATACTAAGAACGGAAGAGTCTCTCTCTGACGCAGAGAGGACCGGGTTTCCTTAGAGCTGGCAGGCTGGGAATGCAATTCCTTTTTTTAAAAGCGTGACTGACAGCTGATGGCTTCAGTGGGAGGGGCAGGGCAGTGATGTCATCACAGTGGGTGCTCTGAGTGTTACGTAACTTGGCTGGCTGGAGTTTTGAGGTCACTTGTGGTATGTTAACCCGAATCAAACATTTACATGCTAATTTTCCTCTTATTCTCTGCTAAAAAAATGGTGGGAACCCACACCTTCATTTCTCAGTGTTTTGAATTATGGGCATTTCAGAGGGACTGCATCTCTACCCTGCAAGGGATGGAGAACCCTTCTTCTCAATGGTTCAGACTGGTAAGCACAGGCCATTCTCCAACACACTCTTTTTTCCAGAGAACGATCAATTGATCCATCAATCCATCCATGAAAAGTGACTTAGTGCCATCAAACCTAGGAATCCTTCTTGGCCACCCAGAACTGTCAGAACTCAATAGCAGGAGGTTTGCGCCTTTGAGTCTTCTTAGCAGTCCAATCCCTGCCTTATTTTCCCTCTTAAATCTGCAAATTAGCAAGAGCTTCCTTTCAACTTTCAGCAGCCATAAATTCAGACAGGTGGTGGAATAGCTTGCTTCCATAGTACAAGTTCTTAAAGTAAGAGGGACAGGAAAGTAGAGAAAATGGATGGACCCCTTGATGGGAAACAGATGGTTTGGGTACCACCAAAGTTCACCTTAACAAAAGAGAGACATTTCAGGCAGTTCTACTCACTTCTGTCCTCTGCAGATTCAATTGCATTACTGAGAAATAAACTCTGTCTGTTCAGTTCCTATTAAAAACAAGAATGACTGGCCCTTTGCAGATACAGCCGGAAGCAAACCCACCAACGCGGAGCTGGGGGCAGCAGAGGGGAATTGTGGCAAGGTCACCTTAGTGGAGGGTAAGTGGCAAACAAGAACTGAGGATGTTGCATTTTTTTCAACCAAATAACCAAGCTAAATCAACACTTTGGGCATCACCCAGCATAAACTTACTGAGTGCAGCTGAAACTTAAACCTTTGCTGAAGCAGGTCTTCAAGTGCATTTCCCATTTCATTCCAAGGCTGCTGTGATTTGACAAGCGTCAAACAAAATCCTTGATGGATCCTACATGTTGCAGAGCACTGCATGGATCTTCAACAAACGCCAAGATCCGGATCCACAGCAACGCTGAATGGTTTGTCCTATTTTACGGCTCAGTGATCCTCTTCTGAGATGGTTGTGCCATGCCATGAACCAATTTCCCCCAGAAGTTGCAAAGCACTGATTTCAAACATCTCCCTGAGTCTGACCCAACAGTCCCCTCCCTCCACAGACATGCTTCTCCAACCATTATCAACCCAGGCACTGAAAAATCAAAAGGAGCAAGCAACCTGCTGAATGTATAGTCTTATTTAAAAGGCTAACAGGTTGCACGGGCTTTCTGTACCTTCACCCAGCCAACGTATGCTGACTTACCTCCTAATATCCAGGTTTACCCCAGACATCTTCCCCAGCCAGCACAGAGGCTCCCAGATGAAGGAAGACCAACCCAGAGGAATCTTTAGCCAATTTTCAGCTTTATCCCTGGACACTTCAGAGATCAGCATCCAAACCAAGGGACAGTCAAGGGGGACCAATCAACCAGCTTCTGCTTACAAGTGGATAGCCTCCCACCTGGGCTAAAATGTGGCAGCAGTGTGGGGGCGGGGCCTTCTTCATCCCACCTTTCACCATTGGGAAGTGCTGCTTCTCCTGGGCTCAGCAGAGGAAGACTAGAGGTCTCCTCACCTCTGACGCTGTATCCTGAGGCCTCAGAGCAAACCCTCTTGGGCACAGAAGGTACCTCCAGGGCTCCCAAACAGCCTCCCCTGAGGAGAGTTGCCAAAGCCAGGCCACCTTTTCAGAGCAGGATGGTATATTTTTGATGGCGATTGACTTTCAGTGGAAGACGGAGAGTTTGGTAAGTACAAAGATACGCACTCCCTTGATTCAAGATGGACTTGCAGTGACTTCGGGAATACGCCCCTCTCATTTTCTTGGCCGCAACATGGAAGCTGCCATTTCCTTTTCTTTTCTTTTTTTTTACCACTTCCTACTGAGACCTCTGGGATTTCTTGGTGGTTCTCATCCAGGGTATTTATGGGGGCCTTTCCTGCTTGGCTTCTGAGATCAGCCAAGGTTGCCTTGGTCCAAATACACTAGAGACTGGTCTGCCATATCCTATCCTTTTTCTTTGGTGAAGATCTAAGGCCATAGTTTTTGTAACTTCCATTAAAGCTGAATTTCTGCCAGACGTTCACCTCTGTGCTACAGGTGCACATGTTCTGCTAGATACATGTTGATGCTTCATCAGAGCTGATCAACTTTTGGAGGATTAGCCAAGGCTGGCTAGGTGTCACCACCTGGTGTAGACTCAGTATGTATAAGAGGACTTTTGATTTCAGCTTTTATCCACCTCAACTCTCAGGAATTAGTGTAATTATTCAAATTCCTGCTTGGCCATGAGATGGGTGGTGTTTGGTGAGCAAAACACAATCCTCAAAGCTTCTTGAAGGACAGGTGAGGCACAAATGCCATAAAGAATTAAAGGGTCCATAACATCTGGGCTTACGGAGCCTTTCATGCCAAGTCCCTCTTTTGAATGACCACAGGAATACCTGTTTCTAAGAAGTTTTTGCCAAGTTCATCAGTGTGTCAGCAGGGAAAGCCATTCTAATTCTGGGAACTGCTCTATACATGAGGAGGTGGGAGAATCTGGAGGGCACTTCACTGTTCTCAGTGCTTCCTTTGGTTCAGGAGGCTGCTTCCAGGTACTTGAAAGCGGGCATTGCCAAGGGAAAGGTTTAGCAGAGGCCAGCTTCTGATGCGTGACTATGAAATATAGGGCGCTGTTTAGGTGAGAGGGAAGGTGAGCGTTTCACTCTGTGTCACTCTTCCTGCAGAGGGTGAAAGGGCAGCACCAAAATTTTTTCATTTCCCTCAGACAGAATACAGCACGCCTCCAGGTTTGCCAGCTACACGCTCCTTTCACCACAGAAATGCTCATTGACTTAACTCTACAATACAAAGCAAACCGTTGCAGCCAAAGACCATTTGGGACCCCCATAAACTCCTTCCAAAGCCTTATAACCATCCCAATGATTTTCCACCTTGTCATGTGGGCAGTGCTGCATGGTCCAAAGCACAGAGAGGTCCAATCCTTCAATCCATTTAGTGGAGATCAGGAACAACCTCAGCGCACCTTCTGTACGCAACTGAGAATACTGATCCCAGAAGAGATTTATCACCCACAAATGAGGGCCTATCTTCCTATGCCTGGCACCAGTTTGATGAAAGGAATGGGTCTTCTGGGCATCCAATCAAAATGAAGGAAACGTGTAGGAAGGCCGCATGCCGAATTCCTCCTTGCAAGCAGAGAGAACAGGTCCATCCCCAGGGGATGTGATGCTCTCCTCAAAATACAATAGCAGTTCCTTGGGATTATTTCTACTATTGAGTGCTACAGAGAACTACAGAACCAAAAAGGATGGAGGGAGGCAAAAGGCAATTCACTCCCAAATCAAGAAAGAAAGGAGGAAGGCAAAATCACCAGTGATAACTTCAGAAGTGAAATCCAATTTACAGAGGGCTGTTGATAAAGCTTGCCAAGTTCTGTTCTGGGTCCCCGTGTCCACAAGGAGGTGAAACGTACCTTCAGGGGCACAAGAGGATGATGTCTGTGGCCAGGCCTGCTTCATCAGAAGAGCTGCTTGAGTGAGGACAGGAGAGGAGGTGTTATTAAAGGAACCGACGGTGATCGCAACACAGGCACAGCTATCACTGTAAAAATGCTCTCTTTTTTCCTTTCTTTCTTTTTGCTGGAGAGGCTCATCCTTTTGCTTTGATGACAGGGTGGAGACAAAGGGGGTATCTTTGAATCATGGGGGTGACAGCGCCACATCTGGAGAGCTTCAGACTGGGGAGGGCTGGCAGAAGCAGTGGCTTGGGGCTAGGATGCACAGCTGTCTAGAAAATGTGGATCTATGGGGGGGGATTGTCTTGCAGATTTGTTAAAGGGATGTGCTCCACTTGTTCAGAAAATGGGGAGAGCTGTTTGTTTCTCTCTCACTGTCACCCCCCCTCCTCTTCCTCCACCCCCTCTTCCTTTCCCTCTGCTTCTTGCCTGCTCAACCAAAGCCAGCCTATGCACTGCTGCGATCTTCCCCAACCTGGTGCCCACCACAGGGATCGTGCCATAAAGGGGATATCCGAACCCCCTCCCCCACTAGGTTGCAGCATCTGGGGCTTTGGAGCTTGGAGGGGAGGTGGGTGAGATGAGACAGGATAAAGGGGTATAATGTTCGATGTGTTGTGGTGAGGGTGAACAGAGAGCTCCCCCCCATGTTAGAACTCAAGATCAGCCATTAAAATTAAATGCAGAGAGATTCACAAGAAATAAAAGCGGGTTTTGTTTTTTTACACATTAATAGTGGGATTCGGTGCCATCATCTAATTTATTCATGGATTTATATTTAAATACTTGCAAGAGCAAGTTGCCTGTCCCACCCATGTACGTGGGGATGATTAGAAATCGGGCTGGACAAATTCCTAGTTGGAAGAGACCAGACCTCTCTGTCAGCTAATCCAACCCCCTATTCTGGGTAGGATCTCTGACAGATGACCATCCTGTCTCTGTTTGAGGACCTCTACCAAACACAGACTTGCCACATTGCATGCCAGCCCGTCCCCTAGCCGAATAGTATGCATGGTGGAATAGAAACTCCTTTCATGGATTGGACGGGCGATGTAATTTTCCACAGGTTTTGATCTCTATGGCAGGAAAAGTATTAGAGACTTTCTCAAAGGACATTGGACTGCATCGGCAAAAGCTCAGGATAATTAAAGCCCTTTCTGAAATACAAGACTTTCCATCCAGTAAGTGGGCATTCACAGCTCAAGTGCCTTTCCTGGAAAATAATGCTTGGCTGATCACATTTCTCAGGACTGGCTGCACCACATGACCTGCCTGGAAAATCTACCTCTAAACTAATGTTCAAGGAAATTAAAAGCCATGTTTTGATCAATAGTTATGGTGCCACATAAATCTTGTTACGGAGAATATTCCAGAAATATGCGTGACACACTTCCAAGGAGATCTGATCCCCGGTCCCACCCACCCAAATCTCAGGTAGCAGGTGGGGATGAGAGCGACAGGCCGAGGAGCAGGCAGGTTCTCAGAAGTGCTTGTTTACCGATGGACTGAATTTACACCCTGCCGTTCTACCTTTCTAGAATCAGGGCAGCTCATTCTACGGTCAAGGGGGTTGGGAGGGGTGAGCAAAAAGTACAATGAAAGAATTTTGCACAAAGTATATATTTTTTCTTATCTAAATCTCTAACCCCCTTCGGTAAAACAATGATAATAAGGTATTATGAGCACAATATGACAGACTGGGGCCCCAGACCAAAACTGGGTCTTGGTCCTGGAACAATAAGGGGACCTTCTCCTGCTCCTGTGCTCCTCCTGAGTTTCACTCCTCCATACTTGTTCTGTATGATAAGCCTCCTCTGAAAGGGGAAGATCTGAATGCTTTTTTTTCCTGGCCTCAGATCTGGGCTTTATATCGCTCTTCAAAATATCTGTCCTTCCTCTGGATGCAGAATATCTGAGCGACAATGGGGCTGGCCTTGTTAGTCAGGCTCTTTCCATGTCACTGAACATCTCCCAAAGGGTTCCTTTTCTCTACCTCTAGTTATTCTGTCCTTTGGAATACTCTAAGCCAGTGGTGGAGAATCTGGTCTACCACAGCTTGCTAGTCCATGAAAGTATCTCAGCTTGCCATGCTGCTTCTCTTCAACCCTGTTGTCCTGGCCTGGTCCCTTTGATCTGCCATGCGCAATCTTTCCATAACGTGATCTGGACTCTTTCCAAAGCATCCTTGACTCATCTACTCCATTCTTGACTCCCCCACCCCACCCCCACATTTCTTAAGTACCTTAAAACTCTCTCAACTTATCTTCTACCTTTTGGAGCTCTTCTGGAGAAACTAACAAAATGGATAATTATCCACTTTGTCATGGATCAGTCTGCTAATATTGCACAATGAAATTTGACTGGAGCTGCATGGTGAATAATTCCTTTGTGGAAAAGTTTAATCCTTTGTCTTGGAATATCATTTTTGTGGGCAAGGGGTGGATTTCCTTGATTTGTCTGAATGCTATACTTCTCAACAGACACATACAGTGGCAGATGCTTTATCTAGTTAGAATGGTGGGTTCCATTCAGGGCTGGAGTGGAATCCCCCAGATCTTCTGACAGTTTAACCATCTCAGCTTTGAAACACCTGCCATCTAATTGCCCCTTTCCTTCTTTTCCCTTGCAAAGGTTGAGCATCTCAAGGCCATTTGGCATCCTAGCAGTTTCTGAAGATCTGGCCTGACTTTCAAGTGCCCTCCTTGCAAAAACATTCAAAAGAGCTTGAGATACCAATAAAGTACCACTTAACTGAAATTCAATTGAGCTAAAAGTCTGAAACCAAGGGCACTTTGGGAAATGAATTATTTCATGCATGACTTTCTTTAAATAGCCATATGTATGCTGTTGTCCTTATTTATATATAACAAGGATACTAAAATGTGCCTCTAGAGATTAAAAATCAATATTCAAAATTCAGCCACCCACATTTCAAAACCATCTTTTACACCTCATTAGCATGTGGTTTCCTCACATCCAAACCACCTTTATTTATCACACAACACGTCCTCCTGGTCTTAAGTTTCTCAAAGGAACCATGAGCTTTTCTCATTTTTCATTGTATGCAGACAATTCCTTTGAGAAGGCGGGGTATGTCTGAACTTTCCATGACATTCATACATGCGTTTATTTCTTCAATTCCTAGGCTGCCCAACTCCAAAGGACTCTGGGCAATTTCACATTGCAGCAGTGCAGCTAAGAACAGGCTAGCAAGATGGTAAGGAGAAGATATCCACTCTCTTGAACTAGGGATATAAGGGAGAATGGCACATCCCATCATTTAGAGCAGGGTTCCTCAACCTCAGTAACTTTAAGATGGGTGGACTTTAAGATGGCTGGCTGGGGAATTCTGGGAGTTGAAGTCCACC